TTTAGTGGCATGCAGCGGGTGGGCAGAATTGACTTAGGGTCTGGGTGCATCCTGAAAACCCAGGCCAGGAACCATAGATTGGTGGGACACTGGATCCTGCAGTGCCAGGGATCATGTCATGCTCCAGAGGCTACATTGGTGAGAGCCCAAATGAGAACTCCACTGGGTGAACTGCAGTCTACACCAGACACACTTGTCATCTGAGGACTTAAGCCAAGAAACACGATGTCTGAGGAAGCAGAAGATAACTGTACCAAGAGCAATTGGTTGAATGACAAACAAGGTCTTTGTACATCAATGCCCTGTATGCTGTATTAAGATATGTATTATCCTGGCCATCCTGTGGTTGCCATTCTGTTATATTTTGCTTATGCTTGTTTATATTAGGGTGTATGTCAGAGGTGAGTTTCCATTTGGGCTCATCCTCTTGATGCTGTGTTGTTTCTTTGTTTTTTGGTAAATGAAACCCAGCAACATTGAGCCTATAGGGAAAAAATCTATTAAAAGGGTGTGTGAGGGAGGGGGGATAAAGCAGGGTGAGGAAGATAAGAGGGAGATAATGTCAAGAAGTCCAAGAAGTAAAAGTATGTTTGGAGACTGATTATGGAAGTAGTTGTATAATTACATGATTGAGCTATATGGAATAATATGACTTATGTATTAACTCCCAAGTTACAGAAATTAAAAATTTTAAAAAGCAGAAATCTAGGAATAAGTTTTGAGCTCACACTAAATCCTAGCTCCAACGTGAGACTGATTCCTTCTTACATCATGGTCCTGCTCAATACTCACCTTTATGAAATAATCACTGAGGATAAAGGTGCAACAGCGAAGTGTGGTGAAGAAAACTGATGGTGCCCAGCTATCAAAAGATGTAGCATCTGGGGTCTTAAAGACTTGCAGGTAAACAAGCAGCCATCTAGCTCAGAAGCATCAAAGCCCACATGGAAGAAGCACACCAGCCTGTGTGACCACGAGGTGTAGAAGGGACCAGGTATCAGGTATCAGGCATCAAAGAACAAAAAATCATATCATTGTAAATGAGGGTGAGTGCAGAGTGGAGACCCAAAGCCCATCTGTAGGCAACTGGACACCCCCTTGCAGAAGGGTCATGGGAAGGAGATGAGCCAGGCAGGTTGCGGGCTAGCAATGATAAAACACACAACTTTCCTCTAGTTCTTAAATGTTTCATTCCCCCACTATCATGATCCCAATTCTGCCTTACAAATCTGGCTAGACCAGAGGATGTACATTGGTACAGATAGGAACTGGAAACACAGGGAATCCAGGATAGATAACCCCTTCTGACCAGGACCAGTGGTGAGAGTGGCGATACCTGGAGGGTGGAAGGAAGGTGGGGTTGGAAGTGGGGACTGATTACAAGGATCTACATATAACCTCCTCCCTGGGGGATGGACAACAGAAAAGTGGGTGAAGGGAGACTTTGGACAGTGTAAGATATGACAAAATAATAATAATTTATAAATTATCAAGGGCTCATGAAGGAGGAGTGAGCGGAGAGGGAGAGGGAAAAATGAGGAGCTGATATTAAGGCTCAAGTAGAAAGCAAATGTTTTGCGAATGATGATGACAACAAATGTACAAATGTGCTTGACACAATGGATGTATGTATGGATTGTGATAAGAATTGTACAAGCCCCCAATAAAATGATTTTTTTTAAGAAAAGAAAAGAAAATTCCCAAAAGAAATTCTCAATGTCTTGTAGCCATGAAGAAAAATGCCCCTTTTTCAGTGGAATAACTTTTTAAAAATCTCTTTCTTTTCCTCCCCTTTTCAAGTCTCATCAACCCAATAAGAGTTATGCTCTTATTGATTTTAGCTAATTGCTTTAATGCAGAAACAGCCTATACTCCCAAGTGCCTGTTAATGTTTACCTTTCTTGTTAGCTGGCAACTGTGTAATTAGTGAGTCCAGCGCTTGGCTTCAGGGAATACAGGGAACTGGTCCAGCTTTCCCTGGTTACCAGAACCAGTCCTTGACTGCATAAGCATAGAAAGCCTTCTGATTGGCTCCATTACAACACCTTTTCTATAAGAGATGTTCTTTGTATATTATTCAGAGTTACAGAGGAAATAAACAAAGAAATGGCGGGTTATTTGGAATTGAGTTGTCTAAGAAAAGTTTAACAAAACATTACCCAGTTGTTCAAAACATAAGCTTCTTTAGAGAAATTGTCCTTTTCTTTCCATTGCATTGAAGCATAATGCTACTCCTCTTTAAGATATTGAGCTGAATAATCCTGATTCTGAAGAATTTCTAGTACTTCTAGAGTTTGGGTGATTCTAATACCCAACGATCTTTGACAAAAAGAAGAGAAATCGTCTGCGACGTTGAGAGTCAGATTCCTATGAAAGAGTTTCTCTTATGAGGAAACTTCATCTTGGATGTATTCCAGTATCATGAGCAGACCAGAACACATGGACTCTGGCTTCTGTAGGAAAAGCAAAAAGTGTGGTAATTTTTCCTTGTCTTTGACATTCCCCCACTTTTTCTTCTTGGAAGTGTGTGTGTGTGTGTGTGTGTGTGTGTGTGTGTGTGTGTTTCCCCTGACAAGTAATCCTATTTCTGACCAGAATGTTGATTGAAAGACTGATCATGTAGTCCAATATTCATGTTCTCTCCCTCACATTGTTTTTTACTGTGATATATATTTGTGACAAAACAGTTTCCATTTCAACATTCTTGAAATATACAATCCAGGTACACTATTATGCTGTCTTGTCTCTTCCACACTGGCAACCCCAACAATGCACCATGAATTCAATTCATACTAGAGCTCTGGTTCCATTCACTCTCTTCTCGGAGCTGGAGATTAAAATTTCATACTCCTTTGCCCTCCATCTCTTCTTCCTGGATGAGACCCTGCGGTGTCTGTTCTCATAGCTACCTTGTCTCACCTAGCTCAAAGAGTTTTTCAGAAAGGTCTCTCTTCTTTCCCTTAAGGATGGGGATGGGGACATCTTTCAGTCTGGCCAGACATCATCCCTTGCTCTGGATCCCAAAAGACTGCAGAAAGCCCAACCCCAGAATGAAACGAGATCAGAGATACACGTTGTACTATCGTAGTTCTTTCCATCCCTACTTGCTCAGAGTTCCAGCTAAGGAAACTCCAGAGAAGTTTCTCTTTTATGTGACACCATCAGCTCCAGACACCACGGCGACAGTGTGAGTAGTGTGAGGGCATACAGTGGAGAAGACCTCTTGGAATAATTTCAAGTGACTGAAGTTAACCTTTGGTCTCCACTTGCTTCCAGCATTGATGTGTTTCTCCCTAGTTCGGATCGCTCCTTGATGCACCTGCGGTCTGATTATTTCTCCTCAGCTCCCTGGATCTCTGAAGTCGCTTTGTCTGACTGACCTTTCACACACATCGTTCACAAATTTATTCGTTCCAGAAAGAGCTTAAAGCAAGCATGTGAACAAGTACTCTAAAAACGCTCTCCTCATATTTTCCCCACCACTGTGTTCAATCACCCCTTTTTGCACTTTGATCATCTCCTGTCTTCGCCCAGATGTAAATTGGCAGTCTCGCACATGCCACTATGAATGAAAGCAATGCCTGACCTAAATAATATACCAGTACTTACTACTTAGTTACTCTCTTGGTTAATGTCTCTAGAATTGACTTAAAATGTTTTCTCCTTAGTCATTAAGAAATCTCTGGATTGTTACAATATCTGTAAGAGCTCCCAATAAAATGTTTTTTTTTTAATCTCTGACTTTAGTTTGAACTTCTACTAAAGATGATGAGGGATAATGGGTTCCTTCATTTGTGTTATACCATCTTACAGAGAGCTTCCACCATCATTCATTCAAAATTTGGATTTTAGGGATGCAGAGGAAAAGATCCTCCAAAAATGTTCCTTTATTCTTAAACTATTGGCAATTTTATCTATACAGAATCCACAAAAGTCAACTTTCTACTTCTAGTTCTTCACCATCACTGAATCTAAGTTGAAGTCCTGCGAATAACACGTTCCTGTCTTCCTGGCTCACAGGTAACTTAGTCTTTGATCTAAAATGGCCTTATACTTGGGTTATGGGTTTCAAAGTGTCAGAATTTAAGCTGTCTTGAGAAAATAGCTGGGTTTGTGATGTAAGGCTATAAGAGCCATGAGAATTTAATTCATTGGAGAATAATGGTGGCAAAGGCACAGAAATAAACAGTCCTGTCTGGTACCAGAAGCAGCTGACAGGTTGAAGGTAGGTTAAGTACAGATAAGGAAGAACTCTGAACATGAAAATTAAGAAAAGTGATCTCTATTCATATGGGTCAAACTTAAACACTGAGGTGAGAATTAACCCCAAACCCCCCTAACATCAAGTCTGACTCTGTATGATATTTCTGAGCTATAAATCTTTATGGAAGCTGATAGTCTCTTGTTTCAGCCTAAGAGAAGCTGATGAGTCTGAATCACCAACCTTGTGATTACCAGGTCCACAGCCCACTAGGATGCATCAGAATTAGAAAAATCTTTGAAATCTATTTCATTATTCTTCTACTATCAACACAGAACTACAAAATCTCTCTGAATGTCTGGTTTCCCACAAGGAAAGAGAGAATAAGAGTCCTTAGTCAAAATACTAATAAGCCATGCTAGGACCATTTGTAATAGTGTTTGAAAAGGTACTATAAATACTCAAATTCTTATTAAAATTTAATGAGGTGCATAGGAAATAGAAACCCTATATAATTTTAAGCAGGAAAATAATGATTGGAAGATGAGGAGAGAAAGATGATTCAGACAGCTGAGACATGTATGTGCTATAATGGTTTTAAAACATGATGATCTAAGATCAGTGATTAACCAAAAAAAGGATAAAAACCCTAACTGAGATATAGTGGCATAGCGTTGAGATATATGGGTCCTAAGCCCTGGCAGTGCATAGAAAGAGATATGATAAAATGAGATGAGACAGAATAATCGATGGGATCTCCTCCCTCTTCCTATTTTGCTCCAGGGAAATATCCTCTATAATGGGCTTAAGGAACCACAGCACCATCACTGAATTTATCTTCATTGGACTGTCTGCTGACCCCCACGTTGAGGTTCTGCTATTTGTCCTCTTTCTGGTGATTTATCTCCTAACCACGATGGGAAACCTGATGCTGTTGCTGGTGATCAAGGCAGACGTCCATCTACATACTCCCATGTACTTCTTCTTGAGTAATCTGTCATTCCTGGACCTTTGCTTCTCTTCTGTTACTCTACCCAAGCTCCTGGAGGACCTCCTGTCTGAGAAGAAAACCATATCAAAAGGAGGCTGCCTGGCTCAGGTCTTCTTTGTGTTTTTCACTTCAGGGACGGAAGCCTGTCTTCTCTCAGTGATGGCCTATGACCGCTATGCTGCCATCTGCCGCCCACTGCTCTATGGACAAGTGATGAGCAACCGACTCTGTGCGAAACTGGTGTTGATCTCATGGGGCCTGGCCTCTCTCAATGCACTGGTGATTTTGCTCTTAGGTATAAATATGGACTTCTGTGATGCCCAAACTATACACCACTTCACCTGTGAGCTGCCTGCTCTCTTTCCCTTGTCCTGCTCGGATATATCCATCCATATCAACATCCTTCTTGGTGCCAGCTTGCTACATGGTCTTGGAACCTTTATCCCAATCTTCTTGTCCTATGCCCGCATTATCTCCACCATCATGAGCATCAGTTCCACCACTGGCAGAAGTAAAGCTTTCAACACCTGCTCCTCTCACCTGATTGCAGTGGTCCTGTTCTTTGGTTCAGGGTTTCTTTGCTATCTCATGCCTCCATCTGGTTCCTCTTGGGATTTGCTCTTATCCTTGCAATACAGTGTAGTCACACCCCTGATGAATCCCCTTATTTACAGCCTAAAAAACAAAGAAGTGAAGGCAGCTGTGAAAAAAATACTAGGGAAATATCTATAATTTTGGAGCAGTAAATAAAGTAAATTACTCTGCAAAATTGAAAAGGATGCATTTCTTTGTATTTTCTATTCTGTTGCTATCTCCTCCCACAACCCAAGGTGACAGAAAGTAAATGCAAGATCCCAGACCTTGCCACAACACTAGTGTTGCTATTCCAGAGGGAGTCGCTTGATCCTGTCCTCTCTTTGCAAAATCTGGGCTCTGCTGATTAGAAGAGCATGTGACAATAATCTTTCACAAAGTAGAACAAAATGATAACAAACTACCTAAAGCAGGGGATGTGATGATTATATTGCAATATTAAGTATATAGCTAGAAGGGGTCCCTGAAAGGAAGAACTGGAAAACAAAGGAGGCATTTATTACAGGTAAGACGCAATGGTTAAAGCTCTTGCCTGCAACCTAAAGGTCGCTGTTGAAATATACCAGCTGCTTCGTAAGAAATGACCTGAATATCTGCTCTACTGAATGTTATAGCATTAAAAAAAAAAAAACCTATGGGGTAGTTCTACTCGGTCATAGCATTGCTGAGTCAGAACTGACAACACCAGTAGGTTGAAGTTAGCTTTATAAAAACTCACCTACTTAAAAATTTTTTAAACTAAAGTCTCTGTCAATTGAATTCAATGTCAAAAAAATTTCTATGTCAATGAAACGGGTAAGATTACATGTAGAATAGTATAAAAATAAGAGCACTGTGTGCTAAAATACAAAATGTTGCCAAAGCAGTATACCAGGGAGAAAGAAGTCGTATCTTTAAATGCATTAATTAGTAAGCGAGAAAAAAATTAAGTATCTAAGTACTCAAATACAAGAGTTAGAAAGATAAAAAGACCCAATATTAGAAAATATAGACCAATGAAATATTTAAATAAAGGCACAAATTAATGAATTTGAAATCTGGAAAAATAAATCTAGGTTCCTACTGTTTAAAAAGACCTATAAAATTGGACGTGATTCCATAGAATGTATTTTAAGAAAAAAAGGTAAATGAAACTGTTAACAGCAAGACTGATGCCAAAAAATAAACAAACCTATTGTTACCAAGTCAATCCAAGCTCATAGTGACTCTCTATAGGGGTTGTAAGAAGGTAAATCTTTACAGCAGCTTTTTTGTCCCAAGGAGTAGTTGGTGGTCTGAACCCCTGACCTTGTGGTGGCCAATCCAATACTTTCCCAGCAGCACCACCAGACCTCTTCAAAAAAAGCACTGATAGTAAGGAGAAAAATTACAGGAAAACGCTAACATTTTATAGTAATAACTTTTTGTAGCAGGGTTGTGTTTTTATTTTCAAAGGAAAATTAATTTTCAAAAAGTGTCATTAAATATGTGAAACCAAAAAACCATGAAAGTACTCTTAAAGTATTGCTTTCTAAAAGGCCTTGGGCAAAAATGGCTTTGTTAGTTGACATAGCCCAAACTCTAGCATTCAAAACAGTCTTATGCTATATTCACTTTTCTAACATACAGGAAAAGTCAGAATTTGCCAAAGCATTCACAAAATTAATAACTCTTTTTTGGTTTTGTTTTTTTGGTTTTTTTTACAAAAAAGTTGTTTT